CCAACAAATGGACGACGTCATTGTCACTAAACTCACCGTAATTTTCTCGGTATGCGTCCACATATCCAAGAAACTGTTTGAGTCTCTTGAAGAAGACTTCAGGATCTTCTATTTGCTTTGCGCGCCCTGCGCGATCAAATGTTGCAATCGAGCGATCCACCTTTGCAATGGGCATTTTCCTGAACACTTCCCAATGACCTGCATTCGCTTCCACCAGCAACTTGATCTTCATTAGCTTCTTGCGTCTGGCAGGCAATAACTTCTCCATCTTTGACGCCAGATCCTTCAACTCGTTATCGGCTCGAAGACCGTGAAGGAATGCATTCACTTCTTCTGCTCCACTGCAAAACTCCAGTGTGTCGAGTACGATCTCTTCTGAAAAAAGGTGAGCATATTCTTTGCCAGCAAGAGCGATAGAATGTTTACGGTTCCACCCTTTAAAATATCCAATCCACAGCTTGAGCTCGAGACGGATGCCAGGCCACTTCGTGGACCCTCCAACACCATGCGCACGAATCTCCACTGCGCGAGGCAATATCCTTAAGACATCCCTAGGTTTCACATCTGCTTTCAGCCACCTAGGAAGCATCCGACTCAAGGTCGCAGGGTGTGAAGCAACCAGCTGTTTTTCCCAACCATAGATAATTGGTCTCGATTCGAGGAACTGCTCAAAAATTGCGGTCGTCTCATCCACCCCTCTTCTGTTCAAAAGCCAGGTCACAACGGATTTGCTGTCGAAGTATTTCTCCGGGTAGCTCATGTTGAAATCCAGAACATATTTCAACCACGAAGAAAGTTCGACTTTGACGGAACTCCACGCTGCCTTTTTCTTTACTTCACCTGTCAGTCTCCCCATCGCTGCAATGGGCATTAATTCATAAATCTCGTCCGGTCCTACTTCCCATGTCAAACACAATTGCTTGATCTTTTCGGCGTCTTCCGACTTTTTCATAGTTATCACTTCCAGCAAGCTGCTGGCGCGCTCCTTCGAAGGAGGAAAGCTCTCAAGCCAATGGAGAAATTTTATCACCCTCTTGACTTTAAATTTCTTCACCATATGCTCAAGTATCTCAACGTCTTCGAACGCGCGAGTCTGAATGTTAAACAACTCCACATACGCAGACCACTCGTAGAGCTTCTGAAATATGGTGAGATCCTGATTCGACCCCGAAGGGACATCAACATGCTCCAGAAAGTTCGTATATGCTTTTTTCTGCAAGGCTATCAGTTCCCCCTGTACTCCTTGATGAATTGCAGCGCTCCCGTGTGACACTACATCGTTCAACCCTCTCTCCTCGTCGCGGCGGTGAACAAAGTCGCTCGCTGCCACTGTAGAGTCCTGCGAGTGCAAGTGTCCTGGCCCGTCGAACGCAGTAAGTTCCAGCGGAGAATGCAGAGTGGAAATGTTAACTGCCTCATTGTTCGTCCCACTGTCGACAGTGGTTCTAGAATCGGCACTTGTTAGGACCAAGAAGACGGAGGCCGTGACCACGTGACGAGTGGGACGCATCATTCTTCTTCCTAACTGCGAGGGGTTTTGAGAAATGAGAGAAGCCAGTTCTCCTGGTCGGAATGTGTGGACCACGTAGATGTCGATCGACCGACCGACCAACCAGTTCCTGTCACTACTGCAGGGGTTGGTCATAATGCTGACATAGTGTCGGTCACAGGGAGCCACAAGCCAGCCAGACTGTCGACCAGCCTGCTGCTCCGTCATTGGCTATAAATGCGTCTTCTTCACATGATCAATGGTAACGGCTGGGTTCAATTTTGATTCGGCTATGCCATTCAATTTCGTCATCTGAAGGAGCTCAGAAAGACGCCCAATTCCGTCAGGAGTAGATCGTAAGTACTCAATTCACTAATATTGTTTACCCACTTACTTGCCCGTTCAAAGCCCAAACAGACGGTTTCAGTGCAATTCGCGGCTTCAGGTCCAACTACATTCCTTCCTTCCTGCCCGAACTCCAATCTTATTAGCAACAACAACACAGGTGCATTTTTAGGGGACTGCTGATACAACCCACTTTGTACGAGATACACCCCGTACACCACACCCGTGCTACGCCACACTATGGTTTGTACGACGAACATCGCGCTAATTCACCTGTATACGACCACTATAGCACAACAATCTACAAAAGTCGTATATATAGTAAGTGATTTTACCAGTCTATCTCGCATCTGCGAAATGACCATTGCGTCGTTCAAAAACTAGCATCGCAGACGCAAATAGCCCTCAGTCTCGTCACCCGCTGTGTTAGCAGAATGTACGTCAATAAGAGTAAGCCCAAGTGAACAATATCGCGATGAAAAACAAACTATAGCGCGTTTGTAGCATCTTGCAGAGTGAACATTGTGACGCCAGCTGGTCGCATGTTATGCTAGGAATCCAAATATTGGCTACGTTACTCGTGTGAACTGAAAAGGACAAAGATCAAATACAATATACGTGGTGATACAACTAATAAAAGGCCGGTCACCACCTCGTAACGTGGAGATCGGATACTCATAGTGCAGCTAGACAATCATTTTAATATTTGGCCGAAAGATCTTGTCTAACGCAGATTCAGGATAGACTGGATCTATAATATAATAGTCTGTATATAGAATCAGTCTTTCTTAGCGGTAACTTTCTATGCAATGTTCGAATGCGATTACTTTGGTGTAAGTCAACTATCTGTTTCATCCACTTTTTGTGTCTTTCTCGACTGAAACGCAGCTATTGTCATTTCTTCGAGAAACAATGGCCTAAAACCAATTAGGAACTACTTGTAAGTGCTACAGAATATTTGTCCTTATGACAATATTCTGAGAATATAACTCTTATAGTTATATTCTATTAACAATTTCTTATAAATTGTTATGTAACGATTCACCCCGTTACATCACCCCCCTAACCATCAGTCACTTTAGTGACTGATTGACTAAATGGATACTCGTCCCAAATCATTTGGGACAGGGTTTGCACTTGTTGGTCCGCGTCCACTTTCCAACATTTCATCGCATGGTAAACAAGCCCATGCGATGCGCGAGCAAGGCCGCCGAGAGCGCGTCTGCACGTCTCTGTGCGGACGCCGAAGCAGAAACAACAGCAACTGATGTCCCATCGGTTGCTGAAGAGACCCAGCCTGTATCACTTGGTGACGCAGGCGCTGGTCATGAAGACACTCGTGTCTTCACAGAGTACGAGCTCGGTGTCTCGTACTCTCCTGATACGGATGACGGATCCGTATCGACGGCGATTGAATCTAAGCCGCCTGCCAAGCGTGACATGGACGATGCTTTGCGTCGCAGCATCTTTGGTTCATCTGATGAGTCAGATGAACCATCGCCGAAGCGAAGGCGCTCGAGGTCGCGAGACTCGGGCGCTAATAGTGGTGTCGGTTCTCCAATGGACACCACTTCACAGCGAGGTGCCAGTACTTCTGTCGGCACGTCGCAGGAAGAGCGGGACCGCAATGTGTTGCGTCTCGCTCCCAGAAAAGAAGGCATGGATGCCTCCAAAATCTGTCATGGATCACTTGTCGGCGACGACGAGTGATCGTTATCGAACACGATTGTTCGATTCGTCAAGGATCCATCACCTTGACCCCAGCGCGAAAGACTATCGCGCTGAACATGAGTTCTTCATCGATGCTTTCTTCAGACATCGATGGTACAGTGGGAATCACAAACGTGATGGTCCCTCACTACTTCAGGCGTGGAACGCCTACATCCATAACCTCGAGGATGTAGGTCGTGACGCTTGGAACGACAAACTTATCAAAGCTCGTGATAAGTTTGAAAAGCGAACCCCCACAGGTGCACGCTACAAGCTGCATCGTCTGTCAAGGAAGAAAGGATTACCCTGCCTCTCTTGGGGAGACTCGTGCCCATGTTATGTGAACAACTCTGCACGAGCACCTAAGGAGGCTTACCTCCTTACCAGCCCGTGGTGGCGCGTACGTGTCTCTACTGAGATGTACGAAGGGATTGACAACCTGAAATCCCTTTACGACCGTGCCGGGAAGACTTTCTCCGGCGGTCCTTCTGCGGCACAGGATGTGCCGCGTCGTACTGCTCTACCAGACCCAGTACGTCAACCATCAATTGGGAGCGGGGCTCCCAAGAATCCCAGGACGGGGGATAGCCGCGCCACCGGACGAGGTAACTCGTCCGACGTCCGTTCACGTCGCGGTGGTTCAACAGCTGCTCAACTAGATAGCGCTGGCCACCGCGAGAGTCCTCTAATGGAGGTGGAGGAGGAGGAAAGACGCTCTCCACACGATCATGTGGATCGGTGTGTTCCCTGAGAGCTTCTTTGATCGCGTAACGCAAGGGTTACGCGACGATCTCGAGCATGAGCGGAATAGGCGTCTCCAGATGGTGGACACTGCCTCGAAGCATCGAGCTGAGTTTGCCTTTGCTCAGCTTGAGAACGAGAGAGCTCTGACATCTCTTCGTGACGAGCTAAGGGTAGCTCGTGGGATTGTTGATCGGTCTCGGGATCAGATAGCTGCTCTTCAGACCCTTGTTGATGCCCACCATCGGGAGCACAAGGCTCTCTGCGAGATGCTTGAGCGCAAGGGCGTTCTTCATCGGAAGAAGCAGCGTACTGATGGTACGGCTTAAGCCGACCAACGTAAAACGTGGGATGCGTTCGCATCTTACGTGGCAACTCGATCGTGTATGCATTGCCTAGGCGGTGCAATACACGAAATGGGCCAATGTACTTGGGTAGTAGTTTACTACTACCCAAGTTAGTCACTACATGCTTTGTTAGATTAACCGTAGACAGTAGGACTAAGTCACCTTTATTAAATAAAAGAGTGTTTGCCCTTCCATTCTTGTCAGCGGTTTTGCTTTTGCTTATCCACCGCTTCGGCGATGGAGTCTTGCACAAAACGGACTACCGTTTCACGAGCCAGTATGAACTCATCTGATGACTCGTTAGCTTCAGTGTGCTGTGAGCGCACTGCAGCAACATCAACCTTTTCTTCAGTGAGGGCTTCCGCACTCTAGGGATATTCTTCAGTGAGGGCTTCCGCACTCTCACTGGCATCATCTTCTTCGATATCGATGTTATCGATATCGGCATCAAACGCAATGACTTCTTCGTCAGAGCGTGATGAGCGTGAACCAAATCGGTTTTTGCTCGCGCGAGTCCCTCCCCCCCTTAAACCAGAGTTACACTCTAGTAAGGTGGGTACACGCGGATGGCGTAAGCCATTCACGAAAAACGGTGTATGTGTCGTGGACGCATGCACCGAGTTGTTGATGGCAAACTCTACCATTGGCAAAAACTCACTCCAACTCTTAAAGGAGTGTACGTATCCTCGAAGTATCTCTTCAAGGACACGATTGGCACGTTCCGCCTGACCATCTGACTCTGGATGATCAGGTGTTGACATCTTCAAGCGCGTTCCGAGTGATTTGAACACGGACCGCCAGAAATCAGCAGTGAATCGTGGATCTCTGTCTGATACGAGTTCACGGGGCAACCCATGAAGTCGGAAGATGGTGTCAATAAAGACACAAGCACATCCACTTGCCGTGATTGTCTCTGGTACAGCCACAAGGTGTACCATTTTGCTGAATCTGTCAACAAATACGAGAATACCCGTATTCCCGCGTGCGTCTTTGGGTAACCCGAAGACGAAATCCATTGAGATGGATTCCCAGCACTCAGCCGGAACCGGTAGAGGCTGTAAAGGTGCACGCAGTGAAGGACTTGACTTCACTCGTTGGCAGACTTCGCATGCGCGAACATACTTTCGCACAAACTGATACTGGCGGGGCCAGTAAAAGTCTCGACTTACCGTGAGATATGTTTTCTCTCGGCCACGATGTCCTCCTACAGGAGCATCGTGATACTCGAACATGATCCGCAAACGCAGATCAGTATCATCTGGAATGACAACACGTGGTGTGTCACCAGAAACGGCTGTATAATACAGTAAACCGTTACGAGTAGTGTATCGATCTGATGCAGATCGATACGCAGGCGACAATCGTTTCAACGATTCTCGGGATGGTTGGGAGAGATGTGATAACAATTTCACTATCTCACCATCTTGGGCGTAAGCCCGCCTCACATCATCATACAACATTGTAGATGGAACTGAGGACGTCATAACCGCAACAGTGACTGTCTCACTGTTGGGTTTCGCGACTGTTTCAAAGTCGGGACGACGTGAGAGTGCATCAGCGACGACATTAAGTCGCCCTGGTTTGTACTCGACCGTAAAGTTGTATTCTGCAAAGAATGACAACCACCGCGCCATTCGTTGTGAAAGGTGCGGGCTGTTCACTGCCGTGCGTAAGGACGCATGGTCAGTGTAAACAACGAAGGGTCTATCTCCTAATAGATAGACTCTGAACTTCGCGAGTGCATACTTCATGGCAAGGAGTTCCTTGTCATGCACTGGATAGTTCCGCTCAGCTGGTTGCAGCTGACGCGACTGATAGCAGACGACGCGTTCAACGCCTTCAAGATCGTACTGCACTAATGCACAGCCGATTGCGAAATCGCTGGCATCACAGACCACATGAAGTGGCCTGTCCTGATCGGCTATTGCTAGGATTGGGGATTGAATCAAGCTCTGCTTGATACCATCAAAGGAGCGCTGACATTCAGCGTTCCATAACCACCTCTCGTTCTTTTTCAACAAACGAGAGAGATGCACAGTCATCTCGGCGTAATTGCGTGAATACTTTTGCAAATACGCCGCTAGCCCAAGAATTTTTCGAAGACCTTTGACATCGACCGGCACAGGCCAGTCGGTGATCGCCTTGATCTTTTCGGGATCAGGACGTACACCGTTCTTACCAACGATGCACCCAAGAAGTGGTATTTCGCTTGCTGTAAATATACACTTCTTGAGGTTTGCATACAATTGATGCTTTCGCATGATTGTAAGAACCTGTCGGACGTGGTACCTGTGAACCTCAACGTCCAACTTTCCATCCATAGCTCGACTATGGATGAATACGTCATCGAAATAACTCGGCGCGAATTCTCGTACTGGTCTCAACAGATGTGATACACATCTGTTGAACGTGGCAGGGGCATTACTAAGCCCTTGTGGCATTACTAGCCATTCCCAGAGCATGCCGCAAGGCGTGCTCACTGCGGTATAGGGTATGTCCCGTTCTCGCATAAGGATTTGATAGAAGCCATCCATCAAATCCATGGACGAAAAGATGGTACTCTTTGACATACCATCAATGATTACGTCCTTCCTCGGTATCGGCGTCTGAGCCGGTACCGTTGTAGCATTCAACTTGTTAAATGCGTGCACTATCCGCCACCCTCCTGTCGCTTTTCGCACACAGAAGGTCGGAGAGCTATGTGGGGAAGTTGATTCCCTCACATGGCCCGCAGCTAAACGATCGGCAAAGAACTTGTCGATCGCAAGTACTTGTTCACGAGGCAGTGGCCACTGCTTCATGACACAGTACTTCGAGCCTGGTTTAAGCTCGACTTCGTGTCGAATACCTTTATCCTTCGGTAATTCGCACGGAACAGTTTCAGGGAATACATCCTTGAATTCAACCAAATCTTCATAGAGAGGATTTTCCTTGAGCGATTCCCATGATTGGGACTCATATCGCTCAATTCGTTTCTTTTCGTCCAGGACACTCTCGTCCATAGATGAACTACTGAGAACTCTCTCGTTCTCAGTAAACACTGTTGCTGACCTTATGTCGGTTACACACTCGTCGTCAGCGACGAGTATGCAGATCTGCTTGACTTTGCCACTACGCAGATCACGCAAGAACCTTTTATGTTCGAGCGTTGGCAACTGAGTGATCTCCGAAGTTAACTTCGGAGGCGCAATCAGATCAAGTGTATAAGCGCCTACACATGATCCGTTATTGACTATGACATTCAATGTCTCTGTCATTTCCTGGGGACTTATTCCCTCAGGCTTCGAAGGACTTATTCCTTCGTCTTCCCGGGGACTTATTCCCGCGGGTTTCGGGGAACTTATTTCCGCCGTATTTGTAATCTTGGGACTTATTCCCTTTACTTCCTCTAGCTGGGGTTGCGCAACCACAGCGAGATCCTCTACGAAAGACTCTCCAGTCGATCTAGGATTATCGTTTCGCTTAACCTGAGCGATCGATTGTTTCTCTTCTAGATGTTACCCGCTAGGGATACATCTTTGTCCCGGTCCACCCGACTTATTCGAGTGGTGGACCTTCGGCGCAGCCTGTGTTTCCTCACAGCCGCCGGAACTTTGCTCCGAAGTGTAACCGTTTGGTACACTAAGGTTTTGTGCAGTCGTACTAACGACCGTACCACAAGTGAGGCCATCGCACTCACTCGTAGTACATCCACACGCTTGTGGACGCTCCAAAACGTTCATCAGATGGCCATCTGATGAACAAGCGGCAGGCATCGTTACTGTTCGATGTTGCCAGTTTACCCGTGGTTCGTACCTTCTGAGCCACGGTATTCCAAGGATGACATCAAATTTGTCATCCAAATCCAATACGATAAATTCATCGTCATATTGGGTATCTTCTAGCGTATAGTGAATCTTCACTATACGCTTCATGACGGTTACGGATGCGCCTGTCGCAAGACGTACCGTCATCCTCGTAGGAGGTGTGTCACATTCACTGAATTTAAAGTGACCATCTTCTAGCGATTGGCGTTGCACAAAATTGTTGGACGCCCCACAATCGACTAGAGCTCGAAGGGACAACTTATTCGTCACTTCGAGTTTCAAGGTAATGAGTGAGATCTCATTACCTAGAGCAGCAACGCACAACGTCTGTGTGTTGGGAGCAACCTTCATCAAGAGGCCTACAAATTCTCTTGACGTTGCTGGACCAGTAGGGTGCTCCGCACCTACTGATCCTGTCCGTTTTTTGACGGTCCATCCCGTTGTTGCGTCTTTGCACCAACTGCGGACCCTCGTCCCTGCCCCTTTCTCATGGGTGGACGGTCACTACGCCCAGTGTCGCGAGACACTGGACGAGGGGCACTACACTCGTAAGCGTAGTGTCCTGTCTTCTGACATCTGTTGCATCTCTGCAACTTCTTGTAGCCTGTAGAGCGAACCTTCTCGCTCTCTACATAACAGAGTTCCATCGGCTCTGGACCTCCGTTGTCATATCGTCTCGGTTGACGATATGATGTCGAGCTGGCGCGAGCCTGTCTCAGACTGAAGTCTTCCTGCTCCGCAATGGAAATGGCTTGTTCTAGTGAATCTAGTTCAAGCCGGAACAGGTGAGTCTTGACGGGACCATCCGCAAGACCCTGCATGAACACCGAAACCAACGTGTGTTCATCCACTGGATTGGAACTTATACAACTCGTAAGATGTCGTATATGTTGCGCGTAAGCGTGCACATCACGCTTACCCTGTTTGAGCTTCAAGAGTTCGGTTCGAGCTCTGAACTCAGCTCTAGGCGGTTCAAACGTTTGTCTGAGCCGCGACTTGAAGACTTCCAACGACCCAAACGCATATGGGTCGTGCAGCTTGAGCCCCAGTGCCCAAGTCTTGGCACGTCCTGCCAGATTTGACTGGGCAAATGCAACTTGCATATCCCCGTCGTCGATGCGACGCGCCCTTATGGCGTCATCCAATTCGACGAACCATCTCAAGAGGGAGTCTTCTTCGACCCCCCTATACTTTGAGATGTCAATCTTCAAAGTCTCGGGTCGACGCGAGTGCATCGACCCGCCAGCAGCAGCCTGCTGCTGTCTCAACAGTTCAAACTGTTGAGCACCTTGTTCTCTCAACAACTCTGCTTGTTGAGAACCTTGTTGGTGAAGCAAGGCTACTTACTTTCTCGCGTTCAGCGTCAAGTTCATTTTGGATGAACTTGGCGATAGTAGCATGTTGGGCGTCTCTATTGAGAGCCTCTAGCATGACGCTAACAGCATGGATGCCCATGGTCGAACCCATTCGTTCAACCGCATCCCATTCGACATCGCTCAAATGGGAGTAGCCGTCACGCGTAGCGTGAAAGCTTTGGTCATCTTCATCATCCAACATATTCATGTTGGATGTGAACGTGGTCCTTGGACGGACTACAAAGTGCTACCAGGTGTAACGGGGCACCCTGAAGCTTGTACTGGTGACAGTACAAGCTACTTATTCTGATAACAGAATAAGGCGGTGCCTCGTAACTTCACGTACACTCGTACGTGCAGAGGAAGACGTTAAGAAGAAGCGAGTACTTGGTTAGAGTAAAAAGTAGAACTGTATTTATAATAGTTAATGTCTGCAATAAATCACTATTTATCTTCATCTAACTATGTCTAAATACAAATGTGTAAATCAACTATCTGCTCACCACTCATTGCGTGCGTCTGTCGTGGCGCGTCTTCGTTGGTTGATATAATGGCCTATATCAACCAATTAGGAACTACTTGTAAGTGCTACAGAATATTTGTCCTTATGACAATATTCTGAGAATATAACTCTTATAGTTATATTCTATTAACAATTTCTTATAAATTGTTATGTAACGATTCACCCCGTTACAACTCATGTCGAGGACTTGCCTGATAAATTGGCGGAAGGTGGTAAATACTCTTCAAAAGAATCTGTCTTGTGACACTTCTTGAGAGCGGCGCGAGCACGAAACTGCTGGTCTGGCGGTTCCAACTTTGGATATGAAGGCGTCGCGTAGCTCTTCGAAGGTGGAAATTTGCTTTCCCTCCACAGCAATACGTGTATGGTACCATGAGGCAGCAGCGTTCTTCAGGTTGGAGGCCATCATGGCCACGATCCGCTGATGGTCTGAGGCTGATAGTAATCCAAGTTCTTGCCATTCACGAACAACTTGGCACGAAAGATAAAATCTTCTACGCTCTCGTTTGGTAGGCCGCTGTACACAGGCATTAAAATACCTTCGGTCCTCACTTCACAGTTCCAGAGCTGGCTCTGTTGTGCGTTTATCGCAGCTTAAGCGTTCTGCGCCGCAATGCTGGCAGCAAGCGCATAAAATGCGTGGCTCAGGTCAGATGGAATGCAACCGTCGTTCAAATAGGGTTGAGAGCCACCGTCAGGTGGTTGAGACGACCGATGCGACATCGACAATATCAAATGAGTGTAAGCCCCAGGATGATTGCTTAATCGAAGGATACGGGGCGCGTCACACAACTCTTGATGCCCACGAACCAAAACGGAAATGGACCAAAACCGACCGACAAGTGCTACCAAATGTTGTGTTGGTGCGAAGGCTGAAGACTGGAGACTGGAGAGGAAGACGGAAATTCGGAAAGTGAGATTTATCAAAGTTATCGTTGTGCTAAAGTGTGATCCTATGAATCTTTACTCTTACACTAACAACTATATGGCACTGCAGGATCTGGTACGGTCAGCGGTTGAAGTTGAGGATACGGGATCTGGAGTTCCAGTTAATTTCAACGCCACCTGATATACGTTCAGCAGCATGGAAGACTGGGTCATCAAATCTGCAAGGCTGGGTCATCACGAACTCAGGCGGAAAGCCCACGCTTCGAAACGAACGCCCTAGCATCAAAACGGGACCAAGCAACGGGATAGACACTGACATCGAAAAGATGTCAGAGACATACAGGAATACAGAGAGTGGATCAATGACGCTGATTGCGTCATTACAGCTTGTCGATACGTCGGTAGGTGGGCACAAGCAGCTACATCTCCAAAGTGGCTACATAACTTAGAGGTGGAGGATAACAAAGCGCCTAGCACAACACCTGCGCCTCGTGTTACGCTATTCTATGCAATCCGGATTCGGGCACGTAGTAAACCTACTTGTGCTTCTTCATGCAGATATCAGCCGGATTTCCGCAACACCAACACTGTACATTCAATGCTCCAAAATGCGGGCATAGTTGAACACGACAAGGACTTTCTAAACAGTCATTTTCAGTCAATTTACTGATAAGAGACCAATTTAAAACGCTACATCCATACTGATGAGTTAACTCAATGTTGTTGTGCTCATTTTTTACAATCAGCCTCCGTACCGTTCCATCGCTGTTATAATCCGTTGCATAAAGGCAATTTGTTTTGAGTGTAGGAAGGACAACTTGAGATACTGCGCGCAGAAAGAACAAGGATTTACTCTGGCAATGCGGCTGGAACGGCGGAGGTCCTCTTTTACAAATTCAATAATTTTTGCAGCATTCAACGCTAAGTGGGCATCACTAATCCTGGGATCTTGTACAAAATATTCAGGGTAACAAAGCGAAGTTATCGAACGATTCCATTAACGACAGTGGTGTCACATTTAGCATGCCAGGCGAAGAAACTTCCATCGGAGCATTTTACTACAGTGAAGAAATCAGGCTGAACCAATTTGCGTAGATGTTTTCGCAGCAGAACTTTTGCATAGGAAGCTCCTAGGACAACACAACAATGGCAAGAGACCCTGTTCGACAACGACGAGTTGATACGCGCCAGAGACTGAATTAAGTCGGCGTAAAGCCATATAGATTGATCGAGCAGGACGCAAAAAGCGGCCAGAAACTTGTCTTGTTTGGCGGACAAAAAAATATCACTTCTACATTACTGCTCCAAGTTACCTAGAATGTGCGTAGAGAATCTGAACAAGAAGACCAATCCTTTGTATATCAAGCCACCGAGGAAATCCTTCAACAAGTCACAACTTTTAGGAAGTTTTCTGCTTACGCAGTATGCGCAATGATTTGGCAGAGAGCTTAGTCAACAAAGCGTATGAGAGTGGCCACGTAGACCACCATTCAAGTGTCTCTTCTCCTATGGCTTCGTGTAGGCCACCTCCATTATACGGTTGCTGGGGCCGAAGTGAACATGGGAGGAATTGCGGTCAATACTTTAGAATACTAGTCTAATGGTATAACAACCAAATGAAGTTGTCCATTAAAATCTTTAGTTGGTAAACTTTAATAATGACATGACCAGCGTCTGTTTTGGCTCGAATTCTTTGCAAATGTCGCAAAATAAGGAGCGTTATGTGTGTATTAGGGGGACGATAGGACTTCGACGAAGGTCGCATTGTAGATGTGAAAGTTTTATAAACGCATTTAAATGGTCGGTCCCATGGAGTGAATCAGACTTCATGCCAGGACGTCGCAATTACAGCGCTTATCTATAATCCCAGCCCGTCGTGGCCTGTCACATAGTGGCTTGGCAGCCCCAACAACACGCATATTTTACCTTACCGACTAGATCTTGTATGTACTGTGTATTCTATGCAGCACCAACGTATACGATGGTTAACAAAAAAAACTACCCCGACGATTACCCAGCTCAACGCCATTAACGATTTCAAATTATAGTTACCAACATCTTCCTCTCTAAACGGCGTTGCAATGTACAGCTCTAGCCGACCAATCTTTTCGAAGAATGGGCGAGGAAAAACCTGGTCTCGACTCCCTAAGGAGAGGCTGCTGTTACCGCAGCATATTATCTGCTAACAACGCGTCCGCTCTCCAGCTTTATGCGCGCCGGAGTTCTCCAGCTCATCAGTCGACTCTTCGCTGCTGGTTGTACTAGTACTTGCGTACTGTGATGATAGTTATGAACTGACAAATGTTTTTACGTGTTAACCACTACCACTGAAGTGCATTGTTTCCTCTCAAAATCTTGCGTCTTCCTATGGACCTGGCATCATCGTCGGCTACTACACCGATACATGTGATTAACATTATCCTGGAGTGATCAGTATCACGATAAGTGTTGGCGACTGCAACGGTCAACCTGGAACACTCCTCCTGACCGTGATGAGCTACTAACCTTGTAACTCGCGCTTCGCCACCTAAAGTTGGCATCTTAGCTCCTCGAATGTTTGACGCGGGAGCGCCTTGGTCAGAATCTCTGCAAGCTGGTCGTTACAGGCACACGATTTCACACTAACGCGTCCTTTGCTAGTTTCATCCTTGATGAAGTGATATCTTATAGCAATGTGCTTTGCAGCAGATGACACCATCTCGTATTTTATCTATCGTATCGCGCCTTGGTTGTCAGCAATGACACTTGGGACAATTCTGATGCGGAGCAGCTCTTGAAGAAGCTTCTTGATCCATCCACACTCAGACACACTCGTCGCACCGGCAATGAACTCTGCTTCCGTAGTGGACATCGCAACAACGGCTTGCTTCTTTGAACTTCACGCTATCGGCCGCCCATTTACTTCAAGGAAGGCGTCGCTCGTTGATTTTCGGTTGACTCGACCAACAGCCCAATCAGCATCGGACCAACTGTTGTACTCGAGGTTTTCAATAGAAACAGCCTCACTAGTCTTCCAGTAGCGCAATCCACGATCTGGTGTGCCTTTAAGATAGTGAAAAATCCGTTTCATCAGCTCCCAATGGCACTTACGAGGCTTCACGCGGTGTCTTGACACAAAGTTTGTAGCATACGCTATGTCTGGGTGAGTAGATTTTGCAATCCAAAGAAGAGTACCGAGAGCCTCACGTACGCGATGTAGGTCCACTAATTCTTCACTGTCAGTACCATTATAGTCTGTGTTGGGATCCATTGGAGTCGTGACAGTTCCGACATGTTCAAGATTGAATGTGCGGAGTCGTCACATATCATGCTCTGCTGAGATAAAAAAAAACTTTGCGAGATCTCGTGCACTGCGAAACCCAGATATTTTTTCACTGGCCCGAGCATCTTGGTGCTGAAGCGCTCTTCCAGCTTCAGTGTAACATCGCGCAGCTCCTCCTCATTATGAAACGCGATCAGCACATCATCCACGTAAAGTCCAAGAAGCATCAACCGCTCCTTTTCCCGCGCTTGTAGTAGATGCACGGGTCGAGTCTTGACTTGATAAAACCAAGGGCGATGATGTACTCGTTCATTGTCTCATTCCAGCAGCGACCCGACTGTTTAAGTCCATACAATGGCTTTAGCAGCTTGAGTACCTTTCCCGCCTCGACGTCCATCTCCCTGGGTTCCTTCACGTAGATGAGTCGCGCAGCAAACCCTTCACGTAGGCATTAAGAACGTCGCCATGAGTCAGTCGCAGTCCAAGCAAGCTTGACAATGCAAAAAATAGACGCACGCTGCTGATTTTGATGACC